GTGGTAAAATTGGCGGTATGAAGCATTAGCTCAAACTGGAGAAAACCATGCCAATTACAAGAAGAAACATCACCCAGAGATTTCGGCCTTTCTTCGACCCGACTCAACGTTCTTGGGCGCCCGTGCTGCCCTGCGGTAGTGCGTGCTGGTGATGGCTCTGTACCTGGCCGTTGCAACCAAAGAAGGGGGGGTGCCTCAAAATTTGCGACCAAAAAGGCACCCTGGCAAAAAGGCACACCCAATCGCAGCTTTATCTTCTTGCATTCACTGAGCAAGGGCTGTTCCCGGCTTTGCATTTTTTGCGCGACCAGCATGCAGAGTTTGACATGCATCCATAGTCCTTACAATGCCCAGACAGGGTCCACATTTACCGTGCTCCTGAATGCTCCATTTCCCAATGTCACGTGAGTGCATACAATGTAATTTCCTTCACAACAAATGGTGAATATTGACCGCTCCTTTCCTAATGTATCCGAATCCGGCATCGAGTTTAGACCTTGGAAACACATACACCGATTCTTGTGTATTTCGAAGCCAAGCCGTTCGCTTCAGGACTATCTTTGCGCTGAATTTCTGGCAGCCCGCATGTCCGGCACACCCTTTTCACTAAATCACTCTTCCCCTTGTCCAAACACGGACAAAAAAAGAGGCTCACCTTTCCTGGCGTAAACCTAACATGGCAAGATTAGCTTTGGACCACCGAGCCCTTCCATCAGTCTTGCAATTCCAAGGACTCGACAGAAATGCCCAGCGACTCGGTACCAACATACCCTGCACTGTGACTTCCAAGGATTTCCGTAGCCCCAGGATTTCGGTTCTTGGACACTGACTCATTATGCAACCCAGTTGGCTCCACTGTTGGTCAAGGAAAAGGCAACTCTGGTTCAAATCTGCTCAAACAAAACACGTATCGCAATGATTTTGCCAGGCCCAAAGCTGCCGTCACGCATGGTCGCCATCCCAAACATATGGACAATCTACAGAGATGATGCTTGAGCCACAACATTGACACTGGGCCACATGATAAACCCTCATTCCTCATCCCGGCCTCTCTTGTCCAGCAGTGTCCCAAATCTGCGCTTTGACCTTGCTTCCGTTGGAAAGCCTGGGCAGGTCAAGTATTGTAGCACTCCGGATTTGCACTTCTCAACTATGATGTTTGACGATGGATCCTCTGATTTGCACATCCGGGTCAATCTGAAGTGGACGTCACCTATCTGGCTTGGCGCTATGATCAGAAAAGCCAGCACGGTTGTGCGGAGGTATGGATAGCCTGACTTGTCACAGGAATCATACACTCAATGAAAGTGAGCAACCCAATTTGGTCAAAGCGTGGCCTGAGCGACGATGGGCAGGAGTGTGAAGGTCAAACTTTGCAAATCTCTGGTGGCTACCAATGTCATACCATCATCAGGCCTTTCGGGCTCAAAAGATGGCACCAGTGGTTGATCCAGTGATGTAGTTAAAACATGGCTGTACGTCCAGCACACTCCTCAGCATCTGAGCACTTCACTTGACTATCCTGGTCGCAAACTCCACACCCACCGTGGCTGTCGGAGCCTGCGCAGCCAGGTTGTGTGAAGTGTGCTTTTGACAGAAAACAGTCAACAGCCCATCCTAGGCCAACCCAACGTGCTTGCACTAAGCGACTGGCACATTACTCTGGTTGAAATTGCAAGAGCGTCTAGGTTGAGGGCTGTCAAAGTACCACATATCGATGCTGCTGAGGCAACTCCAAGCACCTTCACTTGATCAGTCATCCGACCCTCTGGCCCTTTGTCCTAGGGATCAAAGATTTCTTTTGCCATCCAAAAGCAACTTGCAAACCCTGGTACCCATTTGGGGAGCAGTTTGAAAGGGAACCCAAAGGGAAAACCAGCAAATGTCACGTTCATTTAGAGAACATAGAGCCTGACTCAGTGCGCACCTTGGGAAGCTTGCTCTTGACGTACCTGGACAGCAGGTGGGTCTTGCCCACGGTGGCGTCGCCAACTAAGACCACCTGACAGGGTCTCGGAAATGCGAACAAGTCAGTCATCGAACCTCAGACAAATGGAGCATGGGGTATGTGCAACTCTCCTGCTGCAGGGCACCGTGCGCATGCTAACCTCTTGAAGACTCGAAGAGGTTTGTTGTGTTCTTCGCGTGTGATCTTATTATCCTCTCGGCAAAGCACAAGCGGTTTGTCATCCCAGGACTCAACGCATTTGCTGTAAATTACCGAAGGCACACATGACAACAACACATGTCGCTGCTTGCATCAAGTCCTACTTCAAAACCTCCGATCCAATTCATGCATTGAAACGCGCTCGGCAAGCGACCACTCCGCAAAACCGGCGCTTGAGGGTCAGCAACATCTACTTTCCTCGGTCAGTTTATTGGGGGAAACGTCCAGGGTGCTGCCACTGCAACTTGCCAAGCCTTGTAGAATTGGTCGTAGTCATCGTCGCCCATGGCCTCACAAACAACTCCAACTTGACTTACTCTGCGCTGATTTACCAATCTCAAACAGCTCCCCTGCACTAGCCCCTCAGCATTCTCTGGGAGTTTACGACAATTTGCTTGGCTACTGTATAACCAAGTCAGCACACAAATGCCCACCTATCAGCAATTTATGTGTATGAGTGCGTTTTAGGTTGTGTACGGGTTATTCGAGGGTTATGTAAGGGCGGCTCAAGTTGTGCATCTTTGGCTGCAGCGGAAACCGGCTATTTCAAGATCCTCTCTATAATATGTTGCATTTGGCTGCGCTGCGATCTGTTTCTTGGGATGAAACTTGTGAACATCAACGCCTTCCTTTTGATCCCACGGCAGCGATGCAGTTTGGCACGCGCTTTCTGCTGGTTTGGGGGTAGGGCGGAAACAGCATTTGTCCAGCATTTTCCCATTATCTTCCAGTACCCCCAGTCGGAGCACTGAAACTATCGGGCCGGCGGGGGTCGTCCAGCAATCACGAGCACTATGCTAGAATTACTCAGTGCTCACAATTCCTGACTGTTACGACAGCTGCTTTGGAAAGACGATGGGCCCATGCCAAAAGAAGCGTTTTGTTAGGGGCAGGGGGTACGCTTTGTGGGGTAGAAGCCAGTGTCATGAGGGGATCAGCGCATGGTGCTCCATACGGAACTCATACGGAACAATCAGAATCAATGGCTTCCTGGCTTCCTTTTGAATGGGGTACCCTCCAAAAAAACACTCCCAGTCACCCAGTCACCCAGTCACCCAGTCACCCAAATCCAAAATGCCTCTCTCGCCTGGGTCCCCCGCTCGATCGGGTATCAGGTACCCGTGGCTGGATCCGTTTCTTCGGCTGCGGTCAGCGAGCAATCCAGACGATTCCAGAGGGCTGTGGGTCAAAAATAGGTACCCAAGTCCAACCCTGGTAAGTGGTGACATGGACGACTTGCGGTCCCCTGGTGGCGTAATTTTGGGTTCAAGCCTACGAATCCATCAACGGGACATGACGTAGGAAGCTGTGAAGAATACGATAGGCCTTGTCCAATAGATTGCCATTGCACTGCTGACAGAACACCTACAACAAACAAGTGACAAGTGCACCATCTTAACGGAGAGTGTCCTTCAAAAAGCAAATACAACAGCCCGACGAGCTTGGCCAGCATACATCCGGTTCGCTTTTGTAAAGCAAGCTAACTACTGCACATCTCTCCTCAGTTGGTGGCTTTGGGCTTGTGCTGCCTGCCCAAACCGACGCAAACCCCATGCTTCATTGAAGGTCACAGCTGCAAACAACATACCTGCGTTGGTACACGCAAGCTCTTGTATTTACCGGGATTTGCAGGGACTTAAACAGAATCCGATTTACGACGCACCGACATCTCCAGAGCCAGTGGCTGTCGGCGATATTTGCCTGGCATCGGGCTCGGGACATGGCGCAACGTCTCTGACTGCGATCCTACAACTGGGCGTGTGTTTCTCGTTGCAGGTTTTGACGAGAACCAGCACTTTGCGGGTTTACCTATTTTGACACACACACACACACACACTCCCTCTCTCTCTCACTCTCGCTGTCTCTCATGTTCTCATGCAACAAGCTAAAGTTGGCTGAGAACACATTTGCCCAAACCAGCTTTCTATTCGCCAAGGTTGTCAACGTTCTGCATTTGGAACCTGCAACAAAAATGATGCTGTAGATGATGTAATTATTTGGTCCGAGCCTCTTGAGATCTGATTCTCTTTGTAAGGCATGCAAATGTGGCTGAGTAACGCATCTCAATGACAACCGCATTCATCTCACAGGTGTCCCGGCACAAACGTGCCGATTGATCAGGGATCCTTACATTATACACCCAAACATTGCCTTGTAAATGGTGGTTTCCCTTCATTTTGGTGGACAAAGCCATGTTTCAATTGGGAAAAATGTATCTTTTAAGGAGCCCTGTTGATGTACAGGTGCCTAAGCCATGGCCAAGCCACCAGCCTTGGAGATGCGCGCGGAGCAAGCTCGCCACGGCGGCTGCTTGAAACGGCCCGATTTGCGCTTTGCTCCCATGCAACCTTGGAGATACAAGTAACTTGTATCCAAGGAAGGTCTGCTCAATCCAAGGACGACTTTGCTCATTTGCATCTAAAAGCCCCCGAAGAAGGCTTCCTAGCTTCAGAAACACCGTGCTCTTTCCCTGTTACACTTGATTTTTTCACATTGTTCAAAACACCTGCCAGCCGACAAGCTGGCGGCAAAGGCGCGGCAGAACGCTGGAGCTTCGAATGAATTGGCACTTGCACACACTACTCAATTAAATTCCTCTTACGTATGATTGCAAAGCTGCACGCAGTTCATCATCCTCTAAACCTTGCCTATGCCTCATTGGTGGTCATGTGACAGGCAGTCTGCTTGAGTGGGCAGCCCTTGTAGGGCAGCACTCTAAGCCCCTGGTCAAAACGTGCTGGTCAAGCCGCTTGAGGTGCAATGCCCCGTTACCAAATTTCAGGACTTCGGCTTGCGCGCTCGAAGCCATCGACACCGAGGGTTTCAGGCGAGCCTGGAAGCTGATGTTCACAGGTGTCACGGACGCCTCCGCGCATGCGGCCCCGTCGACACTCGCCAGTTGGAAAGACCTACGAGCCCTAGTGTGAGCATTGCAGAAGCGGGTTCACCAAAAACCTCGTCGGTGTGCAATTGGACAATATTGGGCATATTTGAGAGCGGGTCTGCTTCCATGGAACCTACAGAACAAGGTGAGAAGGCACAATAAATGCCAAGCCTGCGCATGTGAAAGGATCAGATCTCCAGCACAAGGGCCGCACGGACATTTGAACCCACAACGAAGGCAAGAACAACAACTCCGCATGATCCAAAAGGGTCCTTGTCCAGAGCTGATCTAAGACTCTTTCTAATTCGCCCAGGTTGACGCTTGAAACATGTGCAGCTACTTTCTGAGAGTCCATGTAAAGTCGTGAAGCATGCAACATCAACTGAATTTGTTTTGGACTGGCAGGCCCCTGGGGCGGCCACTTGTACGTTCCTTCATAACTGTGTATGTGGTGATGAGTATGTTGCTTCTTGATACTACATGTGGGTATGAAGCAAACTCCCCCGAGATTTCCTCGAGAACCCGTGCGAGACTTCCTGTGCCCAGGGAAGAATACGCCCCAAACCAAAGCATGCCCGGCAGCAGGCAATCCCACGGAGGTAGCAACCTCGCCTCTCCCTTCTTTCGGCCGCAGTGCGGGCAAGAGTCAGAGACGGCCTGCAAGACCCAAATCCATCCGGATAAGCCCGTGAATGTTCGCTGCGAACCACCTCAAAAGTGGTTGGTGGACATGAGTCCTGACCGAATTCTGTTTCCCGCCAAATGGTCCCCTATCAAAACTCACAACCAAGGCTGGTCAAACCGGGACCAAAAACACAAGACATGAAACCTGGGAGCATCCAGGTGGCTGTGTTGCCCCTTGATTCGCTTCCAAGGGGGAAAGCAAAAGGAAACCAACCATTTTGAGGGTTCTCAAATTTCATTCGGCTTGAGCACCCAAAACCAACTTTGAATTTCACATAGTCGCTGCTTGCTTTCATGAGCTGCACTCACTGAACCAGTTGAACTCTACCGGGGTTACGCAACCAGAAGTGGCTCCCTTCGGTTTAAGCAGCCCGAAAGGCACCTTTAGGAATTTCCCGTTGGACTCCCGCCTCTGCCTGTGCTTTGAGCTGCTGTACCTGGGGATAGGCTTGAACTTGTTCAGTGACTCAGAGTTCGCCCTGCCTTTGGCTGAATTTGGGTGTGTCTCTTTTGGGAACTTGTTTGTTTGAGTTTCCATGGACACCAACAGGAAAACCACCATTTTGGGCCGACGGCTCATTTTTGAGGAAGTCCCGGCCACTGGAACCCAGACACCCCACCTTGGACCTTAGGGTTGCACGCTAAACCCAAGGAGTTAGCCCGAAATCTGGGCTGTTGCTGACACAACCTCATTCTCTTGGACAACACAGTGGCCATTAGTCCCTCGAACACCCTTGATGTCAAGGACATGTATGGCCTCCAATGGCCTATACATGTTCAGACAAGTTCCATACTAGGATGGCCACGCTGCAGGAAACAATCAATTTCGATTAACGCATGGGTTACTCCATATATATATATGTATATATATATATATATTGTTATTGTTATTCAGCATATGAGGATGTCCACATTCCAGCCTTCTCCTGAAGCTGCTGATTCTCCGCCTGCCAGCTTTCACTCCCCTTCCCCCTCCCCCTCACCTGCCAAGGATGGCAAGAAGGGAAATTCCGCCAGCAGCCCCCTTGGTGGTCCTTTGAGCAAGCCTGCAGCTATCATGACCCCAACGGGGTAAAACTGGGAAGCCCTCAGTTTACTTAGCTAGGGCCTATGAGTCCTTTATCACTTGTTGCCATCCTTCTAGAACAGTAGTTCACTGAGCTGCAATTTTTCGTGAGGTCACGGAACTTCACTTCATACCCGCAAATACTCCCGTGCAAACTGCACGTGTTGAACAACTTGGCCAAATTAAGGGCTGCACAATTTGAAGCAACACATTCCCACTGTAGTCATTTATTTACAATTTATCTGACACATCGGCCGGCTGAGTAGCAGGTTGCTGCGGGATCAGTGACAGGGGAAGGGCCCTCGGTTCACACAGGAAACGCTCCACCACGTGGTGTGGATTGCTGTCCTGCCATTCGAGTATGTGTCTGCCCTTGGGATGACATCAAGCATGTTCTGAATCACAGCATGCATGAGTCGCCACAGGCCTGCAGCTGGTTCAGCTGCCACTCCGCTCTTGCCTAGCGCCAAGCACTGTCTTACGAACATGTAGAAGTGTCTGCAAAAAAGCCAACAGAGCTACAGTTGGTCATCACACACGTGTGTTCCAGCTGCTTCTACTGCCGCCAGTGCCGCTGCCGCCAGGTGCCGCTGCCGCCAGGTGCCGCTGCCGCCAGTGCCGCTGCCGCCTCTGCGGCTGCGGCTGTTGCCGTTGCCAGTGCAGCTGCTTCCGCCGCTGCTGTGGTTGTTGTTGTTGTTGTTGTGGTGGTGGTGGTGGTGGTGGTGCTGGTGCTGGTGGTGGTGGTGGTGCTGCGGATGCTGGTGATGGTGGCGCTGGTGCTGGTGCTGGTGCTGGTAGTGGTGCTGGTGGTGGTGCTGGTGCTGGTGCTGGTGCTGATGTTGGCGGTGCTGGCGGTGCTGGCGGTTGTGGTTGTTGATTGAAACAATGAGTGCCCTTGGCGTACACCATGGTTTAGTTGAGTGCTCTGCTTTGCCAATCGCTAGGGTTGCGAGCCCGCTTGGCAAAACTCTTGACATTGAGGAACTGAAAGCCAAAGGGGGGGGGTCGCTACGTGGAGGCCGAAGGCTCTGTGAGCAAAGGTACCCACGTGCGATTGTTTCTGGCCATCCTGCGGGAGGGCTGTGTTTGGGAAACATGGAACATTGAACATTGCTGCTTGTTGCTTGTTGTCGTTGTTTTCGTTGTTGTCGTCGCTGTTTGTGTCTGACAAATATGTAGCAAAGAACATGCGATGGCTCATTTTGAGGGTCGTCTTGCAATCAGCAGCTCTACTGCCAAACCTTGTTTTGGAGGAGATGTTTTTCCAATTTGAGACATGCGAATAGCTGGGTCTGGCAGTGGGTTGTCACTCTTGGCCACAGGTATTGCATGATCTCATCAACCTGTAGCCAGTTGTCTGTGGTTGAACCATGCAAGCCCCCCACCCCAGCATCTTGTAACGGGAGCAGTGGCCAAAACCTCCGCTCCAGCACACTCATCTTGAGTCAGCCGTGCGCATGCGTTCGCACCTACACGGGGCCACCGAAAAAGTGGGCTTGAATTCTTTGGGGTTCCCTGAACACCAAGCGAAAAACAGTTACAACGCGTACAGTACCAAAAAAGAGAACCAAGGTACCCACGCACAGAGTGAGCCTGTTGCTCCCCCCCCGCCCCCTGGCCTGAAGCTGCTGCGCTTGCACGACCTCTCCTTGAAGTCGGGTCACCTCCAGGACCGTAGCAAATGACCAGAAACTGGCAGACATCACAATCCCAAACTTGGAAAGATCAACTACCGCTCATAGGCGCATACCAAGAAAATCTCATTCAACAGAACTCAGCCTTCCTGAGTTGGTCCGTGCCAGGAGGATTCGGTGACACCGCTCGGGATCAACATGCTGGAAAAAACAAGAATGTCAATGGCACGACTTGATGCACCCGGTCTCTTCCCTAAATAAGTCAAGGAGATTCCCGGCGGGTGCCTTGGACTGAGTTGCGAATCCACGACACACACACACACACTCACACACACTACACGACGAAACACAACTTAGCAACTTATTGCTATTCTTCCCTGCATCAAGCATGTGTCTCCAAAAAACCATGCCTCTTTGAGCTCCTTCTCGCCTGACCTGTTGTCTGGATGAGCGCAGGACAATTGATGAGATGATAAATGATGACAAATGAGAGAAGCACTTTACATCAGAAAGATCGATGATAGATAATATGAGACGTGACAGCCCCTGGCCGCTTGTGCCCTATTTAGCCATCGAAGGCAGAGCATGCCTCACATCCACACAAGCTGTTCAGAGAAGCATCAGCACTTCAGCGCGCGCGTCTAATGGCCATTCTGCGGCTTTCCTTCGCCCTCTAGAGATTCAACCTAGTTGAGCCTGCCACATGCGCAAACTCAGGTCTGCGCCCCTTCTTGGGCTCCAAGACCTGCAGTATGTAGAGCGCGGAGCTAGGCTGGGAATGGGCGATGTGTCTGCACTCAATGTACGGATCATAATTCATCTATTTATCTGAGCAAAGCATTTCAACTATACTTCGGGGTATAATGAATCTCCAGCTTGCCAGCGTCTGTCGCAACATTCCGTGCCTGCTGAGGTTCAAGAGACGCAAAATAGCGAGCCGATCAAGTCTGATGCCAACAATGACTGAATTACAATTAGCTTCCACATCTGCTGAATACCCGTGACGGGACCCGAACTCTGTGCATGTTGAGACGTGATTTGATGCACCAGCAACCAAATCGTCTCCAAACATCTTGGGTATTGGTTCAAACGAAAAGCTAAGAGCATGGACACCAAGGTCTTTTCCGTGGTGCCTTTGATCCCTGTCACTCCTGCCTGGCTCTGCAGCCGCAGGAACTGTGTCAGCAGAGCACAGGCCTCAATGAAGCAAACGGCTCATGCCATCGGGAAGTAGGTACCACGGGGTGTGTTCACCGCCCAGACTCTTGCCATTGGATCTATATCAGCTAGTTTCTACGGAGGCAATCTTATATTAGCGGCATGAAAACACGCCGCATGGAGCTGCGTGATCGTGCGACGTTCAGTGGGCTGTGAAATCTTTGTGTTGCACTCTGTCTTACAATGTCGCCGATGTGACGCTTCTTGAAACCCAAGACACCCGGCACTGCAGGGATTATGCGATTGTTGCCCAGCGATGCTCTGGCAGGTGTCAGCGCGGAGAAACGCAAAAGCACCGCCCCAAGCCAAGCCACTGTAGACGCAACGACTTTGCTTGCCCGAGTTTCTAGATATGTCTCACGCTTTCAGAACCCGACCCCCCCGCTAGATGTGTCAAGGGAACTTTCCCCTGTCCTTTTGAACCATGGCCCATGCACAGTCACAGGGTAAGACATCAGCCTGCAACAAAACATGTTTGGCGTGTCACCACATGTCTCGAAAAATCTGAATCGGACGGTGGTGCCCCAAACTGCAGCAGATTATAAACCTGCTACTATACGCGAACGACGGGCGGGCGAAAGGGTCCTATGGAAGCTGCGCAGAATGCTTTTTTCACTGTTCCTTCGTCGCCAGCTAACAGCGCAATGTTTTGAGCAGGGCTCGGGGCACACTTGATATTTCGACTGCCGAACGCTAGAGTTATTGGAAGCAGTCGCAGTTGCGAGAACTCGATCTTTACTTGCAAGGCACAAGTGTGAGGGCGTTCTTGGTAGTGGTGGCGCGCGGGTGCAAAATTCGCAGCAGCCATTGACCCAAGCTGAACTTGGAGCCAGACAAGGCACGGCAGATCACAGCAAAAACCCAAAAAGGGCGGAACAGAGGGCCCGCCATGCAAGAAGCACTGTTGGAAACCGTAATCTGAATTATGTCAAGTTTCCCTGGCTTAAACACGATCCCCTCAGTGTTTCGGCACCACGATTTATGTCAAGCTCAGACCTCGAAAACTTCTGGTCCCAAAAAAACGGTCCAAGTCTGAGGGGTGGGTGGGTTAGGAATCCCAGGTCAGATCTTAGTTTTCTTGCTTTTAGAAGGGCTTCAAATCTAAAAGCTTGGCAAGGGACCAAGCCAAGACCTGAGCACAAGAATTTCTGGTTTGATCCCAAGCCCCAACCGCATCCGGGTAACAAAATCTAAAAAGTAGCTGGCGGGTTGACGGGGTCGGAAAAATGATGATTCAAATAGGAGGGTGTTTCAATCCCTGTGAAAAAAACACTAAAAAGCGGGGGCGCCAGACCCCCATGATGTTCGGACAAGTGAGGATTCAAATACAGGTGCAATTTCTCTGCCAAAAGTCCAAAAAAGTAGCGGGGGGGTTGGGGGGTTGGGGTGCAATTGAATCTCTGCAAACAAGCTAAGTAGCGGGGGGGGGGGGGGGGTGAGGGGGTTGGGGGGGAAGCGCGCTGGTGATGCTGAGGGTGCGGGAAGCCAAAAACCAGTGAAAGGGCGCAAAAGCCAAAAAGCCCGGCGAGGAACTAGGAAAGCAGAGGATGCAAAAAGCCACAAAAAGCCGCATAACCAGCGAAAAGCCGCAAAGGCCAAAACGCCACCTGTCGGACAGGAACCGGGAATGCATAGCATGCGAAAAGCCAACGCCAAAACACCACCAAAAGCCGCATGAACCAACAAGAAGCCGAAAGGCCAAGAAGCCAAGAAGCCGAAAAGCCAAGAAGCCAAGAAGCCAAAAGCAAACATTAAAAAAAACAAAAAACAACGAGAAACAAAAACTAAAATCATACCCCTCCAAGAGGGAGCAAAAAGGAAGCAAAAAGGAGGCAAGCAGGCAAGCAAGCAGGCAAGCAAGCGAGCAAGCAAGCAAGGAAACAAACACTCAGACCAAAGCAGACAAAAGCAAGCGCATATACATGCAGGCAACCAACCAAGCAAAACGAACAAGAAAAACAAGCAAACAAACAAACAAACAAACAAACAAACAAACAAACAAACAAAAAAACAAACACCCAACAAAGCACATCAGTAAGCCAAGTCAGTCAGTCAGCCAGTCAGTCAGTCAATTAACCAATCAAACAATCATCCAATCCAAGCCAACCCAATCCAATCCAATCTAATCCAATCCATCCATGCATCCCTCCATCCATCCATCCATCCTTCCATCCAATCAATCATGAGTCAATCAACCAACAAAAAAACAAAGAAACAAACAAACAAAGCAAAACACAAAGAGATAAACCAACACATACACATAAACAAAAAAACAAACAAACCAAGAGACAAACGAGAAAGCAAATGCGACGCAAGCAAACAAACCCCTTGAGACACTGCTGCTCCAGCTACTTCGCTTGGAATCTGTGCCGAGAGCCGATGTTCCAGGTGCCGCGCGTCCAAATCTGGGGCCTCCGAAGCACCTGCCGTGTAAGCCGATGGTATGTTGAGGCAAACTTTGATCCAAATGAATCTCTGCTTCGACGGTTTGACCAGAATTAGAATTTTCCGAAAGAGCCGTCCCTGCGCGAGGTTCACTTTTGGCAGCTCTGCCTTGAAAGTCGCAACTGTTCAGTGCAAGTGTAGCATGCGAGCTACACTTCTGCAGGCTACACTTTGTCAGCTCCGGCTCAAAATGTCACAACTTGTTCAGCACAAGTGTAGTAAGCGAAGTACACTTTGGCAGCCCTGGCACAAAAGTCGCAACTTTTCTGTACCAGCGTGGTACGGGGCTCAAACGTCGCAACTTTTCAGTACAAGCGCTGTTTGCGAAGTACACTTTGGCAGCTGCGGCTCAAAATCGGAACTGTTCATTGGCTTGGCAAATGACTTTCTCATATTCTGGCCAGAAAAAGCGATGCAAGCATAAGCTAATTCAAATTACTAATTATCGCGAGCCGATTTGGGTGACGGATGGGATTCTGCACGGGTGTACCCAGGTGTGACAAGCCCTTCCCCCGGCGAAACAGGGCAACCTAACCTAGTTTCATACAAACTAACCTTTGGTTTGCCAGAACTCAATCTCTCTGGCGCATAAAAACAGAGAGCTCCTAGCATCAATACTGTGTTGTCTTATGATTGGGGTCTAAGTCCAAAATCTAGCAACCTAACCTAGTTTCACACAAACTAACCTCTGGTTTGCCAGAATAGTGCAAACTCAGCTTGTGGTCATGGCAGCCGCCGATACAGACATCAGCGGGACCTTCATTTGCTCACGCAGGCCAAGTGCACAACATAAACCCAAGCAGCGTGTATCATATGTAGTAGTGTCTCATCCACTGTTCAATTCCTTTGACTACCACGACATTCACATCATACTAGGAAGGCTCGTGGCAAGATAATGCAGATATAAGAGAAAGTAAGTACATAGTCTAGATACCGGACACTTAGTCTGAATCTATTGTTGTCTCTAGCTGCATTTTTTGGTGAAGGTGGGTTTTTTCAGGGCCTGTCACTGGCCTGTTTGGTCGGCCTGCTGCTTTTCATGGAGTGGGATGTCTTCAGTAGAGCTTCCCATTTGCTTGTTGTCTATAGCTGCCATGCTTTGGGGGGAAGGTGGATTTGTTTCAGGGCCTGTCACTGGCCTGCTTGGATGGCCTGCTGCTTTTTTCATGGAGTGGGATTTCTTCAGTGGAGCTTCCCATTTGCTTGTTGTCTATAGCTGCCATTTTTTGATGAAGGTGTTTTTTTCAGGTCCTGTCGCTGGCCTGCTTGGTCGGCCTGCTGCTTTTCTTGAAGTAGGATTTTTCCATTGGGCTTCTAGTTTGCTTGTTGTCTCTAGCTGCCTTTTTTTTGGTGAAGGTGTTTTTTTCAGGGCCTGTCACTGGCCTGCTTGGTCGGCCTGCTGCTTTTCTTGAAAAGCATTTTTCCATTGGGCTTCTAGTTTGCTTGTTGTGTGTGGCTGCCAGTTTTTTTTGCAGTTGGTTTTTTCAGGGCTTGTCACTGGCCTGCTTGGTCGGCCTGCTGCTTTTCTTGAAGTGGGATTTCCTATTAGGTTTCTAGTTTGGTTGTTGTGCGCCTGCCTTGTTTTCTCTGCGCAGCAGGGCTTTTCACTGGCCTGCTTGGTCGGCCTGCCGCTTTTCGTGAAATGATTCTCTTTTAGTAGGGCTTCTAATTTGTTTGCTGTATGTGGCTGCCATGTTTTTGTGAAGCTGGACCCCTTTCAGGGCCTGTAGTTGGCCTGCTTGGTCGGCCTGACTTTTTGGGGGGGCCTTCATCGCAATACAGCTGATGCGCCTCGTAATAGTAGCAATGCCCTTTTGCTTGAAAAGCACATATGGCTCGCTATCTAAACTGGCAAACCCCAATGAAAAACGGCTGAAAGGGTAAAAACAGATTTAAATACTAAAATATTTAAAAAACATAAAATCAAAAACAATAAATTATAAACAAAAATAAAACAAACAATATACTATCTTTTATTAATATATTCCATATCTTTTAGTAGAGGATATGTAAACACTTATTATCTTTTACTTTCCCGAGTAGCTACTCCTATAAGTCTACTACAAGTCCGCCGGAACATAGCCAAACAAATCTAAGCTAAACTTAGGTTAACCACCTGATAAACAGACTTATATCTGACATACGATCCTCCTCTAATCCCAAGCTATCTGACTCTGAGCCTTCTTAGTACTGACAACTTGGTACAATTCTATGCGACTTATACGCGGCGTATGTATTGTTCAATGATTGTTGCGTATAAAAACCGTTTTACGCATAACCTATGCATAACTTCTGCATAGGATTGGTTTTATGCAACCTATGTCACCGACAGAAAACAAGTTCTGCATATATGCAGAACTTTCCCGACTAAAATCAGTATACATTCTGCATATATGCAGAAGTTTATGCAGCCTATGTTTTTGCACGCGTAAGTTACGCAGAAGTTATGCAGAAGTTATGCAGAAGTTATGCATGTGTGCCCTCAGGTTTTGCATATTCCACACGTTATGCACACATAGAATTATAAAAACGATTTTGGGTTTGAGGAGCTGTTTTTTTGAGGCCGGCACCTCATCATTTTTTTACAATCTTTTCACCGACTTACATTCACCAAATTGGACCAACTTGCCGAAAACACAACGCAATGTGTTTGCCAACTTGCAAACAGAAGAGCAAGTTTGCTAACTTTTCACCGACTTGCCAAATGTTCGGCAGTTCAGCATCTGTTCACCATCTTTTCACCAACTCACCAACTTTTTACCAACTTGCCAAAGAAACAAATTTGCCAATTGCTTGCCGACTTGCCAACATTTCGGCAGTTCACCATCTTCTTACCATCTTTTCACCAACTCGCGACCTGTTTATCATCTTTTCACATCTTTTCACCAACTAACAAAATTTTCGCTTTCGCCAACATTTTGCAAGCTTTTCAAATTTCCAGCAGTTTGCGATCTGTTCACCATCTTTTCACCAACTTGCCAAATATTCACCAGCTCGCAATCTGTCCACCAGCTTGCCCACTTTCCGGCATTTCACTTTCTTTTGCCAACTTGCAAATTGTTCACCAACCCACAATCGTTTCACCATCTCTTCGCAAACTTGCCAAATTTCACAAACTCGCCATCTTGTCACAAGCGTCTTACCCAACTTGCCAGATGTCCACCAGCTCACCATCTTTTCACCAACGAGCACTTTTTGCAACCCGCCGTCTGTTTTATTCGACAAAGTCATTCTTTCGCCATCTTTTCACCACTTACCAAAAGGTTCACCAACTCGCCATCTTTTCTGTTGTCTGTTCGCAAATTTGGCAGACGTTCACAGATTCCTCAACTTGCACACGTTTCACAAACCCAGCATCTTTTCACATTTTTTCACCAACTTGCAAACTTTTAACCAGCCCACCATCTTCTGACTCTCAATCTTCTCACCGCTTTCAAACTGTTACCCTGCGCTCCTTTCACAGCAGCCCCACATGTTCACAAAACTCTCACCTGCTTACTTCTCAAGCGTCACCAACTTCTCGCCAGTGTTCACCACCAACTCACCATATTGTGTTATTACAGACGACACCGAAAGAAGTTTTAAACACTCCGAACCTACCCGCAGATCAACTCCATACTCGCTGTCTAAATTTGAGCATGACTTGAGACTGAGGCGGGGCGTTGCTTGTGTGGACAGTTCAAGTAAAATTGAGTCACAAGAGGCCCTTGCGAGCAATGATTTGACGGACCCCTCATTTTATAATCAGTGATTACATTTCTTTGCGTAGGCAACCAAAGAAACCACCCTTTTAGAAAAAGCAACATGGCGAAGAAACACCAACGTGGGGGGTTGCCTGGGATCGCCTGGGATATATTCATGTATATATATATATATTTGCATATATACACACGCATATGGGATCGTAACAAGATCGGGGAACCAACCAAACATACACTAGAAGAACGGGGGGGGGGGCGAAAGCAAAGTTCGCCCAGCAAGCTTCTCTGCGCAAGTTTTCTGAGCAACCTTCTCTGAGCAAGTTTCTCCCACTCTCTGAGCAAGTTCTCTGCGCACATTTCTCTGCACAAGTTTTCTCTGCGCAGCTGGGAGTGTCCCTTAAGAGTCCCTTACTAACTACTAACCTTCATCTACCCGGGTTTTGATTGCGGCTCACTTGGTCATAGAAGGGCATCGGCGACCCGGCGGATGCGGATGTGAGAAGTATAAACTTATAACGTCTTCCCTAAAGAAACAAAAAATAGACCGTGTTCGGCGCCCGTTTTGTTTTTTTCACCTTCGCACATGCCCTCTTACCTCTGAATGCTCCTGATTGCTCTGACCATTGATTTTTGGTACCAACCGTATTACCCAAATAGGCTCGCGATAATCAGTAATTCAAATGTATCGTTTTTGGGGAGCTCCTATCGTTTTTGTGGTTTCAAGCACTTTAAGCTGTATGGATGCCAAGTGTAGACTACTTTGCTTTCCGTAAAGTTCGACCATGCTTCACATGACAAGACACCTGTTTAGCATTGACAATTGCCTTCAACCGCACGCGCAAAGCTTTCCAACAAACCGAGTGAATCATAACGCTCTTAAAGCAACAAAGCCGCATGCGCAAGCGCTGCAGCAGTTTCAGTCGAACTCTGGACACGGCGCGGAGATGCAGGCCTGCAGCGAGCTCCTGGCATAGGCTGAAAAGTTCCCCACATGAAGTGGCGGCATGTCAGACGGCTGAAGATCAACTGGGAACAGTGCCTTCCTCTTTCCTTGGCTGTGGTGCTAGCAACCACAAACGGCCAAATTGCGCAACTGGTCTACCTGAGTGTTGGGCAAGCCAATCATTAGACTCGCCTGCCACTCGTGCCGCAGCGTCTTGACGATGGAGCTCAGCTCAGCCTCCGCAAACACAGGTACAAACCGACGGACTGGCCGATGCTTCGGCAGCAAAGAACTTCAAATCGGTTCATTCATGTTTGAAACTTATCATGAAGGGCTGTCAAAGTTCTACTGCGCGCTCGCGGCGTATTGCTGGCATATGCTGTGCTTGATTGGGCATGCTGGCATGCACGACAGGTCTTCATTTGAAGGATGGTGTTTGGACACAAGGCAACAGAACAGCAGGTGCCAGGCCGGCTTTTTCCGCATCTGCGCGAGATACTGCGAGCTTGGGACACCTACACGAACGCTTTTGTCGCTCGGCACACTTTGTCGCCGAGCGACCGCCAGGTCACTTCAGCTCGTGTATTTCAACTGCGAGACATCCTCCGCCTGCAGGTGGGTGCTTCTATTTTTAGAGTCCCCCCAATAGTGATTTATTTTTTGGTGTCGCTTGAAAACCAACCAAAAGAGGGTTCCCCGAAAAACCAACACACCCATTGATCTTCCTTGAGAGGACAAGCAGTCCAGTGCGAAACTATCGTGCTCGGCGAACGTCCTTGGGGCACTCCGTTTCGAGCCTTGGGCACCTCGGTGTCCATGCTGCCGATGATGGTCTGGCAAAATCCGAGGAGCTGGATGGGTGTTCGGCCTTCTGTGTTTCTTCTGTTTCGAACATGCTAAGTTGCCTCATTTTACCAATAAATGGCCCAATACATGAGTGCTGGTGTGGAAAACCTGAGGGCCTGCGTCGGTAGATGTTAAACGAATGAACTCGAGAACGAAATCAGCTGTTGACAGATATTTACTTATGCAACTTATGCCGCACATACCACAAAGGCTGCCGGTGATGCCTGTATCACGTTTTGACAAGGCTAAAACATGTCCGAGGAGTCCGAGTTTGCAACATGTCGATGACGCATGATGATGCCCAATGAAGCGCTTTTATGATTCATGATCATGGCCCTGGTGGAATTTCGAGTTCAAACGCTTGCCCCGCCACAACTTGGGTAACGTTTCAACCAAGCGAGCTAGGTTCGTAGTGCACAAATTCTGTCGAAATCCTGGGTTTGGAGTTCGGTCCCCAACAGTTGAATGCTTTGCCTTCCGGTCCATTGTGCAGTTCATGCCGAAAACAGACATGGACAAGGGTGGACAAATCAACCCCAAGAACGGAGTCTTTTCCCCATCTAGCTGGGTCTCTGAACAATTCCCTCCTCAGAGTCAGTCAATTTCCCCCCCCTCTTGTGACTGACACCTCCATCCTCCGACACCGACCGCCCGGGCTTCGGCCTCCGGCGGCGCAGGGTCTTCCGGCGCTGGCGCCTCTGCCACCTGGTATCAAGGAGTATCAGTGATGTAAACAAATTCCTTCGCCTTTGGAGGGTAGATCTCCTAGGAGGTTCTGAATGCTTTCAGTGGCTGAATCGCGCACTGTTCTAGGGGTTGATTCCCCATTCTTTTCAACCATCCTTCTTTTCAAACACCTGCCGTTTCCCTCGGGTTCTGGATGGTCTCCTGAAAAGAAGGAACTTTCGGAAGGTGCCCCCAAGAGTACGCTGCGTTTGCAGCCGCCCTGGAAGTCAAAAGCGGTAGCTTCCTCCCACAGTTTGGCCCATCCTGCGCCTGCCACTGTGACTCTCTGGGGCCACAGCCACATAGTCGCGTGTGGGGAAAAGCGGAAACTTTTGCGCCTCCTGGTGGGCAAACGCATTTACAATGACAAGGAAATCGGCCAGGGAATTCTAGCAGCGAAAACAAACTTTAATTGTGTAGCCAGTATTACTCAAGGTAACCTTGCCAACATCACCCAATAGAATTGGATTGCGACATCTCCAGAGATTCATCGCTTCTGCCGCCGACAAGAAGACAAGAAGTAACTTTGACGGCAAGATCATTTGAGCGCAGGTGAGGATGCATCAAAAGTGGGCTGATCGTTCCAATGAGCTCGCTGCGAGCCCGGTAAAACTAGGATAGGCACGCACAAACCGTTCATGAAAAATGGATCTTGTGGAAAACGAAGGCAAAGTAAAGTTCCGGTCATTGTCCTACCATGTCCTACAAAAGTCTCAATCAAGCCAAACTACAGTTGCACTGAGATCCAGGGCTAGGGTGTAGCTCCAAATATCACCAAGTCCCCGTCTCAGCAACGCTAAACAAGGCCAGTCACACGAATGGCCATAGTGGCAAAATTTAAATGCATTGGTCAGTGAAAGGGATTCGAAGCTTCTCCAACTATCCAATTTAAAAAATCTCAAAACGCTGAAGTGCCAAGAATTGACCGTCCCCTGACCGTCCCCATCACATGGTTTGCACATGATTGCACTTATTCGATCCACGGCTCACCCGATCACGTCTTGTGACAAGAGTTGTCGGATCAGGCTGATCCTATCGGGTCTCATCCCCTTGTCGGTCCTGCAGCTCAGCTTTCAGAAGCTTTTGCTCCAGGTCAAGCTTGTCAAAATCCTCCTGAAAGTCCAAGGCTGCGATCAAGAAGAGCCACACAACGAATGAGCAGCAGCAGCAGGAAACATATGGTCTGCCACAAAGTCATGGTCCTGGAAAGGCTCTTTCTTTGGACTGGTTGCAGGCCTTCTGAACGATGTGTGGGGTTCCATTAACAAACGTGCAAACGCATGTACACACCCACACACAGACGCGCGCGCGCGTGCACATCACACAGGCAGCAATTGAAGGCTGCATTGCATGTACCTAGCTGGTCCGCAACCGTGGTAAATCACGTGCAAGCCGTCCAGTCACTTGGTTCGCAAGGGCAGCTTAGCCATGCAGCACCCAAAGACCACATGTGCTTCAACCAGGGACACATTCACGCAGATCAGTAGCATCAAACTGCCACTCAGCAGTGCGCACACGCACACACATCTTGATCCAAGGCTTAGCTGCTAGTGGTTGCCGGCTTCAAACTTGCTCTAACACTGGCAACTTATGAACACCATCTCAGTTGCCACTCGCAACTGCAAACCCATCGACCAACAAACCGCCCTTAGCAAGGCGCCTCCACCTTCTCCTGCATCTCCTGCAGGTCTGCCAAACCTCAGACAAACGTGGAGACATGGGCGCTTCCTTGCATGAGGTAGCCCTTGTTTTATTCATCGAAGGAAAGCCAAATAAGAGAAGTGTCACCAATTTTAGGGGGTCCCCGTACCTGCGAAGCCACAACATGAACTTGGATAAACTCATGCTGACATTGCCTTGCCCAACTTGCAATAGATTCTTGAGCGATTTGCACCACAAGCATCTGTGGACATCGCGGCATCACCGGCCCCTTTGTGGGCTTGAGTCTTGGCGATGCCGGCAAGTCATGCATCGTTTTCAAGCGAAATTGTGAGCTCAAGTCGCAGTCGGCCCATGCCACGGAGAAACGCGAAGCCTAAACAGGCAGAATGGTCTTAGCAACGCGAAATGCGAAGCCGGCTGGCTCAAGCGGCGCTCGTCTTCTTTTCATGTAGTAAGATAGTACGTATGACACCAAGAGGAGAGGATTCTCATCCGAATTGAAAGTGTATTCAAAATGTAGACACAGAAACGAGTAGGTTTGGACAAGACGCTAGATGACCCAGCGGCTGCAAGAGGAATCTGTGTAAATGCGATCCATCGGGCTTCCTGTCTTGATAGGTGAAACAACATGGCATGAAACTTCATTGACATCGGCGCAATCGGCACTGTGATCCGCCCTTCAGTGCTTCAAAAACTCACGGGCAGAATTTGCTGGTGAATGTGTCCTCTGCATCTCCCTTCTATTTGAAATCAAAAAGGGTGTCATTATATGATGTACCTTCTTTCCAAAAATGCAATCTGAGCCTGACAAACGTCGAAGGTTGACAGCTCACAAATCCTATAAACCTTTGCCGGAAAGGCGCAGCAATGGTAATCCTGCAACACAATGCATCTGGATCCCATCGGCATGTCGCATGCCAGTATTGGAACCAATGAAAACTCTCCCCTCAGAGCCTTGAGTTTTTTTTGAGTTTTTTTGAGTTTTCTGCGGTTGTTTTTGCATTTTGCCCCTCCCCCACCCCCAGAACCCTCCCCAGACCCCTGCTTGAGTTTTTTTAAAGTCTGTTTTAAGTTTTTTTTGAGTTTCTTTTGAGTTTTTTTTGAGTTTTTTGTTGTGTTCTGCGGTTGTTTTTGCATTTAGCCCCTGCCCCACCCCCAGAACCCTCCCCAGACCCTTGCTTGAGTTGTTGCTTGAATTGTTTTTGAGTTTTTTTTGAGTTGTTTTTGTGTTTTCTGCGGTTGTTTTTTGCATTTTGCCCCTCCCCCACCCCCAGAACCCTCCCCAGACCCCTGCTTGAGTTTTTGTTTGAGTCTGTTTTGAGGTTTTTTTTAGTTTCTTTTGAGTCTTCCCAGATTCAGACTATTTCAGATTGAGTCTTTCGGATTAGGTTTTTTTTTTGAGTTGTTTTTGTGGTTTTGCAAATTCCTGGATTTGCGGCCTGTGTGGGCGAGATCAGGTCTTAAATCTAAATGGCATCGCGGTGTGAAAATGCCTTTCGCTTAAGCCTTGGTTGCTGCCCTGGATCCTCAGAGGTGCATTGATTCCGACTCGGCAGCACAGTTGAGAGCGGCCTTGCCGCCTGGGAATCGGGTTGACACCCCTTCAAAATTTAATAGGCCCAGCCAATGTCGATTCTGGCATGCTGTCCGAATGCGTGCATGTTTGGTTCCAAAAGTCAAAAAAAACTCAAAACAGACTCAAAAAAACTCAAGCAGGGGTCTGGGGAGGGTTCTGGGGGTGGGGAAGGGGCAAAATGCAAAAACAACCGCAGAAAACACAAAAAATATATCAAACAAAACTCAAAAACAACTCAAGCAACAACTCAAGCAAGGGTCTGGGGAGGGTTCTGGGGGTGGGGGAGGAGAAAAATGCAAAAACAACCGCAGAAAACTGAAAAAAAACTCAAAAACAACTCAACAGAAACTAAAAAAAACTCAAAACCGACTCAAAAAAAACTCAAGCAGGGATCTGGGGAGGGTTCTGGGGGTGGGGGAGGGGCAAA